CATGGCGTTTCTGCAAATTGATATGGCATTTTGGGAAAGACAGTGAAGTGGTTTTCCGTTGCCTTCTCCTCAGTTTGCAATTCAAAGTTGACCTTTTTCTTTGACTGGTTGCCATCGAAGCTAGCAAGCTCAGTCTATCGCACTATTTAATCCTTAGCTAGGAAGAGAAAAAAAAGAATCATACTTTTTTTTTTACAAGGGATTATTGCGAAATTGTATGCAGCGGAAATGGTTGGAATTTGAACTCTCACAACCAATTCAATTTTCAACACCAGTAACCATTACGCTACCAACACATGCAACGCAAACGTAAGAGAAACTGAGATGGGTTAGGGTTAAAATCCTTTTTAGAGAGAAAGAGACGATGTATCGAACGGGACAGTTAAAAAAAAAAATACCGGCAAAGTCGACTGTAGCAGAGGAAGATAAGTTTAGAGAACAATGTTGAGAAGAAGTTCGTATTTAATGTTTAACAAGAGCAGAACGTTTGCTTTTTAACTCGTATAATTTGCAGTTTTGTTATTCACTTTGGCACCGGAAGTATTGTGATTTGTATTTACGAAAAGATAAAAGACTTTTAAGGTTAATCCTGCAAAAGATTTCGTTTTGCTGTAACGACATTCCTTACATTGGCCATCACTGCCAGATCAGTGTGCTGGGTTCTACGGCATCATAAGCCTAAATTTAGAGCAAGGATTAATGTCTCAAATGCTTAATCTGCGGCATTCAGTTGGCAAATTGGCTAGGAGGAAAGTGGGTTCCTTGTGTCGCCATAGAAATCTTTCCAGTCAGAATCTATTTTAGAAATCTATCAGCCTGCCTTTCGGCCATGCATCAAATATTAATTTTCTAAGCGAGGCTTAGATGTGGCACATGGCCGAAAGTATGGGGCACCCAGTGAGGATCGAACTCACTTTTCAGTTGTAACAGTTTTAACAAGACCAGCTTGCTAACCGTTACACAACGCCGAGGCGCCCTCCATGCATCGAATATTGCTGCCACATCTTGCCTGATGTTTTCACTTTATATCTAGAGATTCGTCAAATTCCTCAAAAGAATCTGCAACATTATCGTCCTTGACCTACAATCTCGGCTTCAACCACTTTTCCACATCCGTAACGTAGCTACCCCTTGTCTGTAAAATTACCGTGAAAATATTTATAAATATTTTCACGGTAATTTTACTTATGAGATGTCGATTTCACGACCGTCACATCTGTCCTCTTATATGGCAGTGAATGCTTGAAATGTCCTCAAATGTGAAGAAGAAAATTGAAGCAACCGAAATGTGGTTCTACAGAAGGATGATGCGGATACCATGGACAGAATATATGAGCAAGTTTCACAGAAAATGGAAATAAAAAGGAAACTTAGGCATCTGAAAGAGACAGCTGAAAATTCTAGGGTACATAATGAGGAAACGGGGATTGGAAAAACTGATACCCACAGGATAGATTGAATATAAAGGAAAAGAACGCATAACATACTTAGTGAGATTTGAGTAAATGGATGGTGAATCAGGTTTTAGGAAAGATAAAAAACACACACACACACAATTTATTAAGGGCTATAAAGGACAGGAAATTGTGGAGAGCCATGATCTCCTACGTTCTGAGGGGACATGACACAAAGAAGAAGGCTAGATTGGCAGCTAGGTTTCATAATTCTATTGTTGAATTGATTAGTTATAACCGGAAGTTTTATGCTAATATTTTCTTTTTCTACCCTTCTCGGTTGATGAACTATATTTTGGCTTCCTCCTTTCCTGTCAACTACAATGTCAAAAGTTTAAAAGCAATGTCGTCTCCTGTTCCTTAAATCCTATTCATATATAGCCTCTCCTTTTCTTCTCCTCTCAGTAAACCCCTTACATCTTCGCTTTGTTTGGGCTGAAATGATTAACGGATACTCTTTCAATTACTCCTTGACTTGAACGCCAGTTATGATTCAAATTCATCCTAGAAATCAAGAAGAACTCCTATATAAATATAGCTAAAGACGGTGTAAAAATGCTGTTTTTTTTTGGGGGGGGGCACTCCAGAATTCACTTCACAAAAGTGAGACGAGACGAAAAGCGGGCTATTGCTGACATATTTGCACTGTAACTGCCCAGTTCTAACTTTCCAGCCTTGAAAGCATTCAAAAGCGCCCTTGGGGGAGGGCAATTAATTTCTACGGATGACACATCGCAAACATCTTGCTACTCTATCGCTATTTGCATGGCAAATACTCAGACCAGTTACATCCATTAGTTCAATCAGATCTTATAGCTAAAACACGTCATGCCACGTCGAATCATCCTCGTTCCATTCGTATAGGACAAGAGACAGTTCCACTCAGACAGCTTCTTCCCGAGACTTCTACTTTGTGGAACAGGCTCCTGATCATTATAATCTTAATCTCTCCAAATCTAGGGCTAGCTGTTATTTCTTCTAGGCATCTTGATAATCCACAGTTAGTTCCTATGTCTACAACAACCTTATATAGTAACCTGAGTGGCTCTGTGCCTCGTATCGAGTAAACATTGAGGAAAAACAAAAGAGCTTTGACAATGGCCCAGTGGATTAAAGCTTTTTCTTTTTTAATTTGGTGACATAGTGATGCCACTCAGTGGAAATGGGCGAACAATAACTGAGCAGTATTAAAACTATGTCGAAAATTCTTTTCGACTCAAAGGGTAGATCTGTAGCCTGTCCGGCACAGTAAGTGATGCGAAACACTGCCTAGTCTCGCGACTCAAACTTCAGTCAAACATCAATTAATAATGTAAGAAGAAGAGGACTTGCAGAGCGACTCTGTTCTCATAAAGTTTCTCTCATAAAAAAAAAGATGATGAGAATGTAGTAAGTAACAAAGTGGTGCACTTGCGCATCCCGCCCATTCCGGTAAAAAATATTACAAAAACCAGTTCTAGGAGCGTCCTTGCTTTAAAAAAACAAGACATGGCAAACACTCCGTCTCCCACGTCCGAAAACGCAGCCCCCACCTCCAAGCGCAGTAATTTCACTTATATTTCCATAAATAAGAACTAGATGTGATATTCCTAGTCATGATCTGTAGAACAAGAACAGTATATCCATGTAAATTAAATAAAGGGTTCACAATGGAATTCCCTGTAAGTTACCCAGATCGATATACACCTCAGGACGGTCGGTGGGCACAACGGCTGAAACGTTGTGATAGACAAAAAATGGCGACGACATTCCTACTATAGATAGTATAATAAGCTCTTACATGTTACAAAATCGTCTACACTGTCATCTTTTATGCAGGCACTTTGAGACGAATTATTACATTCTTATTTCTTGCAATATATTCGATTCACTTTATTAAATAGAAGAGAATTTAGCAATTAGGTTAATATATTTCGTACTCTTCTTTCTGTCGACGGAACAAATTTGCACCAATTAACTGAATTCGGGCATTTCTAAGAACTTAAGGTTAAAGGAAACTGTAACTAAAGTTCATTTCGTTCTCTTATTGAGGTTTTCTTACTGAAGACAATATAGGACGTCTTTTCGTTCAATCTGTTTTGAAGAGAGTTCTAACTCACAAGATAAGATTATCTGAGATTTCAGAATCCGTTCATATTAAAGCTGGAAATATTGATTTTTTATTTTGCTCCAAGTTATTCTAATAATAAAACATTTTTTCACTGATTCGTTGATAATAGAAAAAAGACAGAAAACAATGAACATCGAAATTGATTTTGATAATGATGATACTATACATACAGAAAATAATAATAAATAAAAAAAAATTAAACCACACCAAAAGCACTGCCAATTCCGACCGTCTGAATATCCGATGAGGAATCTTTCAAGGAGACTCTCTGTCAGCCTTTCTGTTTTGTCTCTTCTTAATTCCCCCTTCGCATGAAATAAACAATAATAGCGATGGATACAAAGTAAACAAGAAATTGTTCAATCACTGTGTATGAATGATCTCAAACTCTTTGCCAAATACGACAATAAGGTGAAGGTTTCCTTCAATACTGTAAAATGTTTCATTGACGACTTAGGTATGGATTCTTGCTCAAAAGTAATATTTAAAAAAGGTAGAATTATAGAAACACAGTATATTTAGATTTTTTCACAAGGATTTGGGGACTCGAAGAGGACGAAGCCTATAAGTAACTAGGATTCAGTGAAGGAGATGACATACAGCATACTCAAAAGAAGGAAAAAGTAAGAAAAGAATATTACTGGCGTGTGCTTCTGGGGTTGAATACCGACTTGAATTCACAAAACAGAATGTCAGCCATAAACACTTTAGCTGTTTCTGTGGTGCAATACAGTTTCAACATCCTTAATTGGACCATAGCTGACATTAAGCAAATGGATGTCAAAATGAGAAAGCTTCTCACTTGCCACCGCATAAAGCATCCTAAGACTGATGTTGATCATCTGAATATGTCCAGATCCGAAGGAGGTAGAGGATTAGTTCAACTGGAATTGTCTTACAAAACCACAACAATCGGTTTTCAACGACACTTTTAAACTACAGACGATTGGATGATGATCTTTGTCAAAGAACATGAAATAAATAATAACCTTCATTCTGCAATAAAAGAAGCCAATAAATTCAAAATGAAATTCCAAGGGGATGAAGAAGTTCAAATACATATACTGCAGCGACAAAGAAACTAAAAAGAAAGCACAAATGCAATGCACCAAATGCCCGTACCAAACAAGCCTTTGTAGACAAACGCAGTACCCATCAGTGTATTTCGTCCGAGCCCTTTCCGTGTAAATAGCGATAGAGCAGCTGGAGGCTTGTCACATTCCGCCCGTGAGAAAAAAAGATGGTGGAACATAATTCTTCTCCAAAAAGGACCCGGAGACGCTTTTGAACTCTACCAAGACCAAAAATTGATGTGTGGGCAGCGCCTGCCCAATTATAACAACATATCACATGTGATATGAATAGATCCTGATAGACACTGTGTTACATTGAGATAAGAACATCGTGACAATTTTGCATGTAAAAATACGTAGGTA